ATTTGGTATGCCACGGGGAGTTTGCCAGACTCTGCCCTGTGGGCAGGCTACATTCGATAGCATGCAAGTTTGTCCAAAGTAGAAAAGAGACAATAAGATGTCATTAAAAAAAAGTTCTGATAAGATGTCACGCGGCCGCAAATGCGGCCACGCGATTCCGGGATCTGCATTTTATAGTCTCTGAGTCTTGGCCGCTGATGGGATTACACGGCGCCAGGGGGCCAGGTGGTGGCCAGAGGTAACTAAAATTACAGAAAATAAAAATGTGGATAGGAGGGAGGATTACTGTATTGCAAATGTAAATGATTCTACATTTTCTTAGATTTTTTCCATTCTGAGTCTCTTTTCATGTGTTCTCACTGGAAATGTAAAGAATACGCTGAAAGTAGGGAAGGAAAGAAATACCAGTCACGGTCACGGTCCTCCCGTGAGGACCGTTGTTCATTGATTTGCTCGAGCAGGCCCAGTAACGTCTCCATCATGAGACTTGTTGTTACTGTGTTTGGCATATCGAATATGTCATGGGTAGCTTGCCAGGCTCTGCCGTGCGGGCGAGATACTCTCGGTAGCTTGCCGGGCTCTCCGACCCATATTACCCTTTAGTTTTGAAAGGTTTAGTTTAGCTGATTCTTCAACTTTCAAGTTGAATTGATTTATGGCATTGATGTTGATACAAGTGTACATAGCCAATCAGCTATTGTAGACAAACTAAAGTTCAGAGAAATAAATCAATTCCCAATCTGTACTTGAGATAAATCTATAAATGAACAGCCTTTATATATAGCCATGGATCCAGTAAGGTTGAACTAGAAGACAGATATCAAACATGAATATTTCTCTAAATGTGCTCTATAATGCACCTCCATTCAAATTAGATTCATAGTCTCTGGGAAAGAGACTAACAAGCTTATTACTTGCAAATAATAAACCACATCTGAGAAATAAGAATGCAACATTTATTTCTCCACCAGATATATTTGTGAAAAAAAAAATACTGTTCAGTAACATTTTGGGTTTTTTTTCTTCCAAAGTGCTCAGTAGTTAGACTTTTTTGATTTAAGAAAAAGTCTGTGGAGTTCATGTCCAATTCTATCAGTTTAATCAATGGCTGAATAAATAGCAGTACTTCTACATTAATGAAAAAAAGAAAAAAGTCTGAGAAAGTGAGGGGAAACGAAGGTTGCCACCTTATAAGAAACAGTGGTTTAATGCTCTCTGTTTTTTATTGCCTAAATAAAGTTTGGTGATATTCCATTTGGATCATTAAGTAGCATTTACAACAATTTACATTAAGTAGCATTTACAAACAGACTCAAATATATCAAAACATTTTATGATAAAAAAATAATGGGCTGGAGCAATAGCATAGCGGGTAGGGCGTTTGTCTTGCATGCGGCCGACCGGGGTTCAATTCCCTGCATCCCATATGGTCCCCTGAGCATGGCCAGGAGTAACTCCTGAATGCAGAACCAGGATTAACCCCTGTGCTTCATTGGGTGTGACCCAAAAAGGAAAAAAAAAACCCCATTAGTCTTTACTGCTGAACTCAAAATTAAGCTTCCTTGTTTTGCTTTTGGGATCACACCTGGCAGTGCTCAGGAGTTCCTCCTGGCTCTGCACTGCCTTCCACAAAATAATTGTCATTTCTGGATCCACCTATATCCTAGTTTCTTCAGTGCAAAAATTATGTTACCTGATGGGGGCAGGCTTAAAAGGTGATTGGGAAAATTGGAAATAATGGTGGTAGGAAGGTACACTAAGTGGTGAGATTGATGTTGAAATATTAAGTGTAATAAATCATCATGAATATTTTAAAAGTTAAATTTTTAAAAGAAAAAGAATTAAAAAAAACACAAAAATATATAACTTGAGGCAGGCATAAGTTCTTTATGGGGAATAGGGAGTTCTGATCTCAGTTTTTTGATCCCGGACAACTGCAGGGATCACTCCTAGCAGTAATTTAGGATCCATGTGTGGTTCTAGATAGAACCAGGGCCAGCCACATACATGGCAAGCATCTTAACCCCTGTGCTATCTCTCTGGCTCTGGTTTGTACAGTTTTAATGTGACAAACAACCTGATGTTAATCATCAATAGAACGGATCAAGATGAGGGCCTATCTTGGTTTTCATTCTCCACCACTGTAAAGTAAGTCTTAACCCAGGGTGGTGTTGCTTTTCAGGCTAGAACTTGCATCAGTTGACAGTTGCTGAGAGGGACAATTGTCTTGGAGGGGGGGGTGGGGAGAGAGTACTGATGAGGAATAGAAGAATAGGTCAGTCAGATGGCAGAGCCAGAAGCCACCTGGGGGGCAATCCTAAAGGAAAATCTTTGAGTTTTACTTTAAAAAATAATGTCATCATGTAAGGTTAGGATTTGGGGTTGGAGGATAGTGAACCCAAGGCATTAACTTGTGAGGGAAGTTGTAGCTGTGTAGGGTGTGAGGTATTCAGTCATCACTGGGACTCCAGCCCTCCCCTGTGTGGATGAGAAACAGTTCCTCCTTGGGCTGCTTGAGTTTGCCCATGAAATCTGTGAGGATGAGAAGCCACTCAGGTCTGGAGGAAGTGGGGGGATGCGGACTGAAATGAAAGCTTGTGTACCCGGAGTGCTCACCTATGGGATGATGAAAGTCTGGAGAGGTGGAGATAAGCTTGAATCACTAGACGTGATTCTCTTCCCCAGACTTGTACCCAGTTACAGAAACAAGCACATTATTAAATTGATAACTAGCTGCAAACAATGTAGTTTATAAAGAGACCAGAGATGTAATAACTGGTGTCTGAGGCGCCTGAGGAGTTGGGAGGCAGCCTTATTAACACCAGGGCTGGGTGAGGATGTTTACATTGTATCCTTACTTGGAGGATGATAAGAAAGTCTTTCTTAATCAGAACTGTAAGGCTTGTTCTGGGTAGTGAGAATTTGTGTGAAACATTTTGATAGACTAAACTTTTGATTTCTTTTTATCCTCTTCCCTTGCCACTCCCTTTGTTATTGTTGTGATGTTCAGTGATGTTCGTGGTTGTGATGTGTGAACACTTTTGGCACTGGTGCGCACATACATGCTTGTGTAGCGATGTTGCACGCTTGTGTCACTGGCATCTCAATGGTTGTGCCAGTGATGACACTCATGGTTGTGAGTCAGGGCTAAGGACCAAACTTGCCACCTTGCACTTGTGTGACACATACCCCATAGAGCCTCAGATGTATTCTTGTGGGTCACTCGTCACTTGTCCTGTTGTTCATAGATTTGCTCAAGTGGGTACCAGTAACGTTTCTAGTTGTCCCTGTTGCGTGCTGGCGTAGCACAATGGCCTTTTGGGGGCTCTTTCAGGGTCAGGGGAATAAGACCCATTTTTGTTACTGTTTTTGGCATATCGAATACGCTACCGGTCGCTTGCCAGGCTCTCTGTGTGGGCGGGATACTCTGTAGCTTGCCGGGCTCTTTGAGAGGGAGAAACTGCATCGCTCTCTTCCAGGAGCTTGTTTTTATAGGCTTTGGATCTTTGCCGTAGATGAGATTACATGACACCAGGGGCAGTTTGTAGGTAGGTTCATATTTTTTTTTTTTTTTGGAAAAATTGAAGATAGTTTCCTAATCTGAGCCTTGAGGAACAGGGGTTTTCAGGTCAGTGAAGATGAGAGAAAAGGGTCTCCAATAAGGGAGTTTGAGATCAAGGTTGGGCATCATGCATTTTGGGGTACATCAGTTTTCAATATTTCACCCTCACCCTGACTCGTGCACACTTTCCCCCCTATTATTTTATCATTGTTTTTGGTTTGGGTGGCGCAACTGGCAGAGCTCAGGCTACTCTGTTTCCTGTGCTCAGGGGCCCCTCTCTTCAGTGCTCCATGCTCAGGGAGGCATACGATGACGGGCTTTGCACTGGGATCAACCACAAGCAAGGCAGTCACTGTGACCCCTGTACTGTCTCTCCCGCTCTCTTTCCTCTGTTACCTGCCTTTTCCTAGCGCTTTCAGAGACTTTACTAAGTGTTTATATTGAGAGGGAAATTCTTATTGCCTCCTTTTAAAAAGATGTCTTCTAATATTATTGATTAGAATCAGAAAACGAATTCTTTTCACTCATGTTTTCGAAGTATGTCTAACAAATGTTTTCTGACAAAAGTTTTTCCTCAGGTCTCCTGAGCAGTTCAAAGTTTCTAGCACAGACATCTAAAGGAGGGCCTGTTTTTTCATCCTTGGGGGTGTTTGTCAAGAAGCAGGTGGTCCTCCACAGACGAAAAGAAACTGTCCTTTTCATGTGCCAGCCTAATCCTGCATGTGTATGTGATTCGGGATTTATTCCTCTCAAATGCCATTGGTATCCTCCTAAGGTATTTCACTTTTGTACAGAAAGCATCCCAGATCAGCAGTCTTTATTCTTCATTTGGCTGTACAGTTTTATTCTGTTTATTACTAACACAGAGACCGCAGGACTATTTGTTCAGATGAAGGCTGACAAATGAAAAATGTCTTTTTTGTTATTTTTCGAGGATATGGGGATTTGAGGTCATACCTGGTGATGCTCAGGAGCCGTTCCCATCCCTGTCCTCGGGGAGGACCCCTGGTAGTGCTTAGTGATGTGAATTGGGGTCTGCCACACTCAAGGCAAAAGCCTGACCTGGTGTACTCTCATTCTGGTTCTGGTATTTAAAAAATAACAAAAAAGTTTATTTAGGAAATGTGAGGAGAGAGAGAGAGAGAGAGAGAGAGAGAGAGAGAGACAGAGACAGAGACAGAGACAGACACAGAGACAGAGACAGACACAGAAAGATAAAGTGAGAGAGACAGAGAGACACACAGAGAGAGTTGAGCTTTAATCTTTGTTAAGACTTTGTCACGTTCTCTCAGATGAAAGCCCATAAGTGGTTGGTATTTCTTTTTTTTTTAAAAAAAAAAGTTTTATTTAGAAAGTGAGAAGGAAGAAGGGAGGGAGGGGGAGAGAGCTGGTTGTTAATCTTCTCCAGTAAAACTTTCTCTCCTGTTTTCCTTTCCAGATTCCAACGAGAAGATGGCAGAGCATAGCCACTCTCCAAAGCAGCTGGATTTGCAAAACGGCAACTTAGAGGCCAGCTTGGTGACCAGTCCCCTGGAGAGTGATTCCCACAACATGATGGAGAGCCTGAGCCCCAAGAAGTATTCCTCCAGCCTGCGGTTTAAGGCCAACGGGGACTACTCGGGCTCCTATTTAACCCTCTCGCAGCCCACGCCGGGGAAGCGGAGCCCTTCCCCGTTGGGGTCCAGTGTCCGGAGCAGCCCCTCCTTGGCCAAAATCCAGGGGGGCAAGCAGTACCCCAGTGAGGGGGCCGACAAGAGTGTGGCCCTGAAATGCCCCGCTCCCTTGCTTAGCAGCCCGCCTTCGCTCAGCGGGTACCCCCTCGGCAGAGCGGACTGGGACCCCCACGCCGGCCGGGACAGTGAGCGGTCCCTGCGGCTCTCCGAGAAGCCCCCCTACTCCAAATACAGCCCGAGGAACAAGTCCCACGACAACGTGTACTTCCTGGGCGCGCTGGAGGGCCGCAAGGCGTCGGGCTCGCTGCTGCCCATGTGGAACGGGAGCGCGGCGGGCGCCAGCAGGTCGGGGGCAGCCAGCATGCCCTCCAGCCCCAAGCAGGCCAGGAAGATGAGCCTGCAGGACCACCCGAGCCTCCAGGCCAAGCTGTCCCGGCCCAGGGAGCCCGAGAGCGCGCCTGCGAGAGCCCGCAAGTACTCCAGCAGCAGCCTGAGCCACCTGGGCGCCTGCAGCCGCTCCCTGCCCAGGCTGTACCGCGCCTCCGAGCACCAGCTCGCGCCCTTTACGCTGCCCCCCAGGAACTCGCTGGGCAACGCCAAACGCACAAAACTGGGGGAGAAGGATCTACCTCACGGCTTCATCGACAATGACAATTACCTGAATTTTTCCTCTCTGAGCTCAGGGGCCGTCCCCTACAAGAGCTCCGTGTCCGAGGGCCACCCCTACGTCAGCTCAGCCCTGAGCGTCCCGGCCAGCCCCAGGGTGGCCCGCAAGATGCTCCTGGCCTCCACCTCGTCCTGCGCCTCCGACGACCTGGACCGGGCTCCCTACTCTGGCCTCAGCTCGGGCCATTCCTTTCTTCCCGGGGAGACGGACCACCGCATGTTTCTGGCCCGGAGGAACTTCTCCTGCGGATCGGAGTTGGATGATGCAGATCTGGACAGTCTGAGACAGGCCTCGGGAACCCCGCAGCCTGCCCTGCGAGAGCGCAAAGGCAGCATCAGCTCCGTTTCTGGGCGGGACGACCTGATGGAGTACCACCGCAGGCAGAGGGAGGAGCGCCTCAGGGAGCAGGAGATGCAGCGCTTGGTAATCTTTCTCTCTCCCCTGACCTCACTCTTTGATGTATCTGCTCCGGGGTAGGAGGACCCCGAGGATATCTGTAGAATTTCCTTGTGCGCTGCCCACTGCGCTTTCTTCCTAGAATATCTCCCGCCCTCCTACTCTTCCCCAGATGGCTGTTGATGATCACACGTGGATGTGTTCTTGAAGACTAGATGCCTAATGTTGTATTAAGTCGCTTTGCAGAGTTCTCACAGGCATCCATTCTAAAAAAGGTAGTTGTGAATTTCACTGAGCTTCTTAGATCTTACCAAAAGTTTCTTCCAAGACAATGCGAAAACACTGACTTTGGTTATTTATTTTATTAAACTTGAATGCGCATGACATTATAGGTCATCCGTGAAATAATGATTCACCAAGAATTAGGCACTATATTTTTTTTCACAGTTGCCCTCCAGCATTGCCCTGTTCGGCAAAGTTGAAAAGTTGCCTAAATGATGTTCAGCCTTTTTTCCCTACACCACTCATCTCGTAGGCTCTTCAGCTTTGTTAATTAGTATGCAACACAACTCCTTGCTACACAAACTTATGAAGTTTATTGTGTTTTTTCTCTTTAATCTCTATTGTGGAAAATCTTGAAAACAAGAAAGCAGAAAGCATGAGAGTGACAATAATGAATGAGATCAAACTGCTACATTTTTCTATTTTCCCTTTTTTCCCTTTATTATTTTACACTCAATAATAATAGAACTTTGGGAGTTGGGGAACTTCCCCAATAGAGGATCAGTGAGCAATTCTTGGTGATGCTTAGCCTGGCCGTGCAGGCTGGGTGGTTCAATGTTCAGGCATGGTGATGTGCTTCTTGGGCTAGAGGTATTTGGGGGTCACAGTCACAGTCATGGTCCTCCCGTTATTCATCGATTTGCTCGAGCGGGCCAAGTAACATCTCCAGCGTGAGACTTGTTGTTACTGTGTTTGGCATATCGAATACATTACGGGGAGCTTGCCAGGCTTTGCCATGCAGGTGAGATATTCTCGGTAGCTCTCTGGGCTCTCTGAGAGGGGCGGAGGAATCGAACCCGGCTCAGCTGGGCTGGCTGTGTGCAAGGCAAATGCCCTACCACTGTGCTATTGCTCCAGCCCTTTTGGGGGTCACCAGGACTATTCCCAGTCATGAACATGCCATGCCTGGAATTAAACTTGGGGTCTTGTGTATGTCAGGCACGCATCCAACCCTTGAGTTATCTCTTCATTCCAATTATTTTCCTTTAAATGTAATTTTAAAGGATATGTATCTATAATATATGTTATCTATAATCACATATATAATAAGATTATTTTTAACCATTATCCATTATAAACTTTTTCCTTAATGAAAGAAACACAAGAGGGTGAAGTTGACTTGCAAATGTATATAAATATTAAAGTATTTTAGTTACTCAAAGAAAGCAGACTAGGATAAGATTTCTGAGTTTCATACAAAAGTAGTTCATGCCTATAGGACAATAAAATTGTAACCTTTGGTTTATAATAAACAAACCATTTGTATCTGTAAAGAACAGAACTTGTTTAAAATTTATAAATGAATCACTGCATCCCCCATAATTTTTGATGCATTAGTGTCTATCCTTATCATGTTTTCAAATATCCTGATTAATAACTGTGTATTTAAATGAATGGCTAAACCCTAAAAAAAGAACTTCAGGGTGAGACTTTTAGATGGTGGTCCTGTGTGACAGATTTTTTATTCTGATAGCCTCCAAAGGTGAATTCCTCTAGTTTCCCCAAATCTGTTAAGATTCCTGGTAATTGAGGGAATGACTGTCCTTACTGCCTGTTTATAAGGTAGGTGGTCTCCATAGGCTGTAAAGCTAGTTCAACTTTGGGGAGAACTGATGGGTGTTGACTCCAATTATGAGTCTACAATTTTTCTCTTTAGTAATGAATTATCATATCTGATGAAATGAAGCTTGTTTTTATTTATTTTTTTTGCCTTTTTGGGTCACACCTGGAGATGCACAGGGGTTACTCCTGGCTCATGCACTCAGGAATTACTCCTGGCAGTGCTTGGGGGACTGGGATGCTGGGAATCGAACCTGGGTCGGCCGCGTGTAAGGCAAAGACCCTACCCACTGTGCTGTCGCTCAAGTCCCTTATTTTTATTTTTAAAAGATTAAAAGATTTCAAAGATTTTTTTTTTTTGTCTTGGTGCCATACCTGGCAGTGCTCACAGCTTACCCCTGACTCTGTGCTCAGGGATTACTCCTAACTGTGTGTGGTCGCCAGGGATAGAACCTGGGTTGACTGTGTACAAAACAAGTGCCTCATCCACTGTACTATTTATCCAACCCTGGGTTTGTTTCTTTTTAAGTTCCTTCTCCACTTTCGCTTTCTCTTCAGCATTGCCATTGTCATAATGACAGGGGTGTTTTACCTACATGGTTAGTTCACACAGTTTCGGCTATGGTACTCACCAGACTTAATATCAGGTTGCATTTTTTTGTACTCTCAGCCATGGTGCTCACTGAGGTTTGCATTCCTTTAGTAATGCTTACACGTGCACTCGCTGAGGCTCATGCTCTTCATTGAGACATTGAGACAAGTAATGGTTGTGGTGCTCCCTAGGGGTTTCTGTAGTGCTCATACAGGTATGAGTCAGGGATTGCACTTCCTAGAGGTGATGCTCGCACATAGTTTTAGTTGCAATAGTCACACCACTATGTGTAGTGCTCACACACAACTCTCAGTGGTGTGGCAGGAAATTGCTTGCAGCACCAGGATTTACAAGCAGCAGAATTGCCAGGATCATGCCCTACGTATGTGAGACAGTGGGAATTTGAACTCATGACCGTACATTTGTAACTTTGCAAAGCAGCCATTTATGATCTTAGGAAGCTAATATTTAAAAATAACTTCTGGGCTGGAGCGATAGCACAGTGGGTAGGCCATTTTCCTTGCACTCGGCCGACCCAGGTTCAATTTCCAGCATCCCATATGGTCCCCCGAGCACCACCAGGAGTAATTCCTGAGTGAAGAGCCAGGAGTAACCCCTGTGCATCGCCGGGTATGGCCCAAAAAGCAAAGAAAAAAAAAACCTTCTTAGGAAGCTTATATTTAAAAATAACTTTTTAGGTTTGATCTCAGTTTTAAAGTTTTACTTGTCTGATTATCATCCCAATAAAAGGATACTCTTATCAAGCCTATGTAATCAATAGTAGTACCGTTTTAAAAAAAGTACCTGGTAGAATTTCTTTCTGGATTCTGAACTACATAGAACAACAAGCTACATTTTAAAAGAAAAATTCACTAGGGGCCAAAGCAATAGTACAGTGAGTAGAGTACTTGCTTTGCACGTGACAGACCTGGATTTGATCTCCAGTATTCCATAGGGTTCCCATGCCCTGCCAGGGATAATCCCTGAGCACAAAGCCAGAAGCCCACAACCAGGTATGGCGCCAAAACAAAATAAAACTAAACTAAAAATATTTTATTAGTCTGAAGAAGTCAGATCAAATTGAATGTCAGATGAAAATGAATGCTAAAAGATATCTCCCTATTAGAAAAGCAAACATTAACAAGAATACCAGTAATTTTGTAAAACATATGATACTTGGTATCACTCCACTTAGTTCCTTTGTTGTCATTCTTGTTACATAGTATCTTGTGACATAATTGATTTTTTGAAATTCTCTCTCTCTCTGTATTTAAAAACTGCTCCCCAAATATCTGAGCTTGCTGCTTCATAGTGCCCTTACTTATCAATCCAATGTCAGTTAAAAATTAAGTTTTTTATCAAAATCTTCTTTGAACTATGAAGAAGGAAGAGTACTGAGTGAATTTCTCTCAACAAAGTATTGAGAAAAATCTATCTTTGTAGACATTTTAGTCTACTCTTAAGCAGAGTTATTAAAAAGCATGAGAGAAAAGCAGGGAAGATAAGACCAAGTGATGGTGGGTAATTTGTGGTTAGTTTGACAAACACTATCAGCAAGAAGAGTAAAAAGTTAAAGTCGGGGCTGGAGCGATAGCACAGCGGGTAGGGCGTTTGCCTTGCACGCAGCCAACATGGCCAACATAGGTTCAATTCCCAGCATCCCATATGGTCCCCCGAGCACCGCCAGGAGCAATTCCTGAGTGCAAGAGCCAGGAGTAACCCCTGAGCATCGCCGGGTGTGACCCCAAAAAAGAAAAAAAAAAGTTAAAGTCTCAGGACATAAGATTTAGTTTTTAAAAATCATTGTTGTTTCTCATAAAGGTAGGAAAGAGTGATAGAGAGTGAGGGCGTTGACTTACATCTAGGATCTTTCTGTAAAGTATGCAGTTTATGAACTTTTATCTGTATTCTAATTTTTTTTTTTGCCAGGGAAAAATTAGCTTAGAGAAGGCTAGACTTCTCATAGACATATTTTTCCAGCAATTCTTGACAGCGTTGAGTTACTTAAAAATAAGGGGCTTAGCAGATAAGCCAAATTACTTCTAGCATTCTTTCTGTATAGTTTAGGATAAATCTTTGTTATTACACAAGAATTCTCTGGGGAAAATTAAAAATTGTTTGAGTCTAATTTTTTTTCAATTAGAGTTTAATTTTGGGAAGTCAAAATCAAATGCTAATAAGAGAAGATTTTATCTTCCACAGATTTTATCTTCTATAGATGAAATCATCCTATAGGATATATAGGACTGTGGATGTCTGAGAACAATAAATGTCTGCAGTTTCACTGATAAAGTAATGGTCGATTATTTTATAGCACACAGTAAACTTAAATCAATCAGAAATTAACATCTTGGAGGTAATTTTATTTTATTTATTTTTTAAATTTATTCATTTTTTAAAAATTGAATCACCATGAGATACACAGTTACCAGGCTGTTGATGGTCAGGTTTCAGTAATACAATGTTCCAACACCCACACCTGCACCAGTGTGCATTTCCCACCACCAGTGTCCCAAGTTTCCCTCCTGCCACCCCATTGCCCCGAGCCTGTCTCTGTGGCAGGCACTTTCCTTTGGAGATCATTTTAAATGTG